CCCAGAACCTCGTCAGCAGCTGCTTCGGTCCCTAAAGTCCAAGGTCACGGCCAAGACCCTGGGAGTGGCCTCGTTTCGTACCACTTTTCCCCTCTTCTTCCTGACGCCACCCCTCACGCGGGCACCTACGTCACCGTTCGCACCATGCGCTTCCTCTCTCCCCACCCTCTTCCTCAGCCTGGGGGGAGGCCGGAGGGTCACTGAGACAGGATGCTGCTCTGGGGGGTGCTGCACACCCTCCTGGGTGTGCACCGTGGAGGTCACCTCGCTCCTTCCACCACGGGGCCAGTCCCAAGGCCAATTCCCTTGTGCGAATTCTCCCTAGTCGCTGGATCTTACTCTTCCCACCCGTGAGAGAGGGGCTTGCGGGGGACAGCCCTAAGGGCGGGGCCCTGGCGATCCATTCCAAGTGCTCCATCTCCTGCCTCAGTGGCTGGTGGGTCAGAAGGGCCCCCTCGCCATGGGCGACTTTGCCCAGCACCCTAGCTGTTGCCACGGCAAGGAGCCAAATTCCCTGCATCCTGCTGGCGGCCTGCAGCTCCTCTCGTTTGGGGAAAGGCTGCGGGAGCCGGCTGATGGGCAAGGTGTCAAAAGCAATTGGTGTGAAGGACTTGGGGAAAACCGCTTGTGAGGGCCAATTCCCCACAGGAGGCCGGGAAACCCTCAGCCCAAGGTGGAGTGTTTACGGGCGTAATTGATAGAATAATCACCAACGCCCGAGACAAAGGCGAACACATTTTTAACATCATAACCTTCGGAAGACAGGACTCAATTTTCTCCATCTTCCAGCCACCAAACTAGCCGGCTTATTGATGGTGAGATACCAACAGTTCAGTAAGGAACACAAGGAAGCCAGAGTCATTTTTCAGCGCACAGGCTGCTTGCCAAATGGCCCAGTGTCCCCTCCCTCCCCCAGCGCCCCGCTGCTCCCTCCTGGCAACAGAGAGAATCTCAGGATAGTAATCACTCAATGGACGAAGGCCCAGGCCAAGCCAGGATCTTTGTCTGCATTGGGTGTATTAATAATTGAAGGTGCCGGCCCAGGGTGCGTGAGTGGGTGCGTGTGTGTGTGTGTGTGTGTGTGTGTGTGTGTGTGGTGGGATGGTGGAGGGGGGACGATGTCTGCTGCAGTGTGAGGCTTCCTGGGGCTCCTCTCAGGGTCCATATACTTGCCCCAGTCTGGACCCCTCCCAACACCCAGGAAACCAAACCAGGCCACCCCTAGTACCAGCCAATTTCCCATCCCATCCCTCTGTGTCCCACCGGGCACAGAGCAATACTCAGGGCAGTGGCTTCCAAACTCCAGGCTGCACAAGAGCCATCTGAGGAGCTCGTTACAATGCAGATTCCAGGGTCCCATCAATAACCCTTTTGGCCAGCGGGTTTGGGGGGAACCCTGGCATCTGCACTATGACAATCTCCCTGGGGGACTCTGAGGCTGGAGGTGTGCAAAGATCCTCACCAAGATCCCACCTTCCAGACCCCTGCCCTGGATGAAATCTGGAGAGCACTGGATAAAGAGTCCAGTCCAGCTGCCTGTTTCTAACTGGCATGTACCCTCAGCAAGATCCTGCCACCTTTATGAGCGGCCGGTTCCTCTTGGTGGAACCTACTGCTTTACTGTTCTCCGGAGAGCTGGAAGGCAGCATGCCCAGGTTAGGGCTCTGCACAAGAAGCTTTGTCAGGTGACTGGGCCAAGCCTGCCTCAAGGCTGTCCTGGAGGAGGCAGGCCCAGAACTGCCGAACACACCTTCATTCTGAACAGTTTTCAGCTCTCTGCACAGACTCGGCGACCTTGGGCAAATCACTGGCCCTCTCTGAACCTCAGTTTCTACGTATATGCAACACCAGCCCTGCATGTATGGTCAGCCTGAGTGAGTTAACACTGGCAAGGGCTTGGCAGCACCAAGCACACAGTAGGCATTTCGCAAATGTCAGCTCCCTTTCCTCCCGCTCCTGCTGGGCGCATGGCAACAGGCTAACAATTTCTGATAAGGAAAAATCAAAATAGCTGCCGTTTATCGAGCACCTACTAGGTGCAGACACTGACCATCACCACCCCGCCTCCCAGTTCCTGGTGCCTGCTCGAGAGGCAGTCACCATGCGCTCCACGTTCATTGCTCACACCTCTAAAAAGCCCTCTTCGAAGTGGGTTGAGTGGAGTAGGAGGGAGATGGGGAGCGAAACAGATGTCCTTGCTGACCCATCTGGCCGCAGGCTTTCCCTGTGACAAGCTCCAGGGCAGGCAGGCGGGAGGCACTGGCCCGGCGGCTCAGCTGGGCTCAGATGGAGCTGGAGGGGTGAGCAGCCACCATGCGGCCGGGGTCAGTGGGCCCCTCCCAGGAACCCCTGCTCCCAGTCCCCACCCCCTCCCCCACCCCCAGACATAGACACCTTCCCGACCCGGCCACATTTCCTGAATCAGCTGAGGACACACAGAGCCCAGGAATAATGAAACGATCAGGCTCCAATCTGCTAAACAGCAATTTCTGAGCTTTTCAGCACACACAGCTTTTATCAAATTGGTATTCTCCTCCTGAACACAAATGGCTTATTAGACATGACCCACTTATTCGCCGCGTCCCACTATCATTAATAACAGTTTCTTTTTGTGATTAAGTGAGTGGCTCCAAACCCTTCCTGTGGCAGTGGGCACTTGGCCCGGCAGAGGGGCAGCTGTGGGGGCTCCTTGGCAGCCACTGCTTGGTGACTTTGAACCTGGCAATGTCGAGGGAAGGTAGCCTGGCCCCTGCGGAACAGCCTGGCCTCTTCGTTCTTCAGGGACAGAGGGCGCCCAGAGGGGCGACTCACTTGCCCAGAGCCCCACGGGGGGTCCGGAGAGAAGCCAATTCACCAGCAGCCCGTGCCGCCGCCCTTCCGCCTAGCCCTGCCCCAGGCCTTGGCTTGACCTCTCCAGGGTGTGGGTGGGAGATGACAGCTGGAGGGGCAGAGCTGTGACCCCTCAGCATGCCTGGCACCAGGGGGCAGGCGGAGACTGTCACACAAAGGGCAGACCCTGCTTTCCTCTTGTGGGGGGGCCACCGCGGGGTCTCAGGAATGGCAGAGTGGTACCCAAACCCCTGGGGTCTGGTGCTCCAGGGACAGAATGACCATAAACCTCAGAGCGCCATTCCTTGTACCTCTCGGGACCGCAAATTCAGGGAAGCCCTTCCGTGGAAAACCCTCTGAGTTTAAGTTCCAACTGTGCCAAGGAACTGAGTGCAGAGAGGAGGGGGAGGGAGGAATTCCCAGTCTCCCTTGAATGGAAGGGAATGTGACAGGGAGATGAATGTCCTGGAAAAAGCGCTGTCTTCGTCCGACAGACCCTGGGGCCTGTCCCGGCTCAGCCACTCTCTCACTGTGTGACCTTGGGCAACTCCCTTCACCTCTCTGAGCCTTGGTTTTCCCGTCTATAGGTTGAAGATCAAAATAACCCTTTCCCTATTTGTCACCGCTCTCGCCAGGCCGGTAGGTACTGGGTAAGGGATGGGAAGGGTGCGTGAATGACGCACCTTACTATCAAACACGGTGAGGCAGAAGGCGCAGGGAGTCGTGGTTCGCAAAAACCAGAGACCCTGAGAATGGCTGTGGAAGCTGCTGTCCCCCTGGAGCAACCTCACTTGTGCTCACGCCCCAGCAAAGCCCTCCCTGACTCTCTGCCCCCCACACCCCTCACTCATTTCCATCAGAGTAAATCACCCCATTCTCTGCTTTTTGTGAAAACCTCCCCCAGCCCTGGGCCCACAGTGCCCAGCACTGGTGCTGCGGCCTCCCTGGCAAGACCAGGAGCCCATGCAGGGAGGGGGTGGATGGAAGGAGGATCTACTTGGGTTCCATCTATGCCCTGGCCCCTGTACCAGAGCCTGGCTCACAGGGGGGACGCAGAGCCCCCACACCTGCCAGCCTCAGACGATCCAACTCTGCTGCCAACTTGGGCTCCCCTGGGGCTGGAAGGAGCTTCTGCCACTCAAGCAACCAGTGCTAGGACCGCTCGCTCACTCCCAGCTCCCACGGCGGCTGGAGTCGAATTTCCCACATTTCAGTCCTCTGGGGCCAAAGATGAGGATGGGGGTGACCCTATGGAAGGATGGTAGGGGCTTCCTGCCCACTCCCAGAGGCAGACAAAAGCACCAGCCTTCCTCTCCCACTCCCATGCCTCTGGCTGGAAGCAGCGGCCCCAACTATTCCAGTGTCTTCCAGGAGCTCCCACCGAGCCCTGCGATGCCACCCACCCAACAGGGAGGCTGCAGCCCCAGGCTACCAGTTCTCAAGGAACAGGGCTTCTGTCCCTGTGCTATAAGGGGCAGGTGTGGAGAGGGAGGGGACAAGGGCAGCCGTGGGGTTAAACTCACAGAGGGGAAAAGCAGATGGGCAGAGAGGAGTGGGTGAGCGAAGTGTGTTCACAAGTGTGTGTGTGTGTGTGTGTGTGCGTGTGTGTGTGTGTGTGTGTGCTTGGGCGCCACTGTGTCTGCAGGTGGGCAGGCAAGAGTTGTGGCAAAGCGTGTGCGCCTGGGTGCCAGCTGGCAGAGCGTGAGCCCACCAGTGCGGTGCTTGGGGTGTGTGTGTGTGTGTGTGTGTGTGTGTGTGTGTGTAGTGGGCACGAGTGTGAGGGCTGAGGAGTGAGGAGGGGATCTGAGAAGGTGTGCGGCGATGTGTAAGGGTAGGAGTTGTGAGTGGGAGAAAGCAGTGAGTAGCTCTCAGCGTGTCTGTGGCCGTGTGTGTCTGTGTGGCCGCGGAGGTGTGCGTACCGTGCGAGTGTGTGTGTGTGCAGGGGGAGGCTGGGGCATCTCCGCGAGAGCGGGAACCGGGGTGCGCACCGGGTATCCCCTCCTTGCGCCGGGCTGGCCAGGGGACCAGGGCGGGTCCACCGCGCCGGCAGGGGGCGCCCCGGGATTCTCGCCGCGGTCGGCGCGGGTTCGAGCCCCAGGGCTGCCAAGTTGGAGCGGCGCCCCCGGGGTGGGGCTTGGGGGGAAGTCCGTGGGGGCGGCGACCGAACTCACCGTGGCCGGAGACATGGCTGTCCCAAGGCGCGTGGCCGGCGGCCCGCGTGGCGCCGCCGAGTTGCAGGAAAAGTGCCAGGTAGTGGAGGGCGCCCAGCGCCACCGCGAGCGGGGCCCCCATGGTGCGCGCTCGGGCCGGGGGCGCCGCCGCCTCACATCGGGGCTCCGGAGACCGCAGACCCCGCGCCCGCCGCCCCCTGCCCTGTGCGGCCTGGCTGCCTGGCTCCGGCCGCTGCCCCTCGCCCGCTGTCCCCAGCCCGGCCCGGGTCCCAGCTGTCGTCCGGCTCCAGCCCTCCCGGCTGCGGGTAGCGAGCGCACGCCCAGCCGGCCGCCTCTGACTGCGGGACTCTTCCCTTCCGCGGAAGGCCACTCCGCGCGGCGCCGCCGCCGCACCCCTCCCTCCACTCCCTCCCCCCGCCCAGAGGAGGCGGCGGCGGAGGGATCTGCCGCTTGATTTATCATCAAAGTTTTGCCCAGGCTGGGATTTTTAAAGCGGTACCCGCAACTTTCCCCCGCCTGGGAGCGGGGGTGGGGACGGGGTGGGCTGGCAGAAGCCACCCCAGGGACACGGTTCCCGCAAAGCATAACACAGCTGGCTTCAGAAACAGACATATTATGCAGCAGGGATAAGGAGAAAGACCAATCCACCTGCTGCCAGAGCAGCGCGCTCAGAGGGACTCTAACTTTGCTAGCAGGGGGCGCCGGGGTCAGGGGACCAGGCGGGGGTGCAAGTGGGGGGAGGGTGAGAGGAGGAAGGAATTTGGGCTGAGGAAGACACAGGAGACCTGGTTATAGCTCTGCTGCAGCCTTTGACTCCCTGTGTGACCGTGTCCAGGTGTCTACCCCTGTCTGAGCCTCAAGGTCTCACCTGAGAAGTGAGGATGATGGCTACCTCCAGGGGTCGTGGTGAGGATTTGAGCAGTGGTGTATATAAAGCGCTTAGCATAATGCTGCCTACATGGTAGGAGCTCAGTAGTTATTGTCGTTGTCCTCCCTGGCACTCAGTGTTCGCGTCTGTGTAACGGGAGTGCGGCAGGCCAGCTAGAGGCTCCTTTTGGCTTAGAGATACTGAGCCTTACGCAGCGGCTTGGCTCGCCCCTTCTGGACTGTCGCCTCCCCCAGCTGATGAGCCGAGATGGTCGGGTGTGTGTGTGCGCGCGCGGTGGGAGAGGCGGATATGCAGCCACTCCCATTCCCAAGAGCAGGGCTCCAACGAGCTCCTCCGACTCCTTCTCTGACCGTTTTACTGGGGCCGACGGAATGGACCTTCGTTACAGACAGGAAAGCAGACATGTTATCCCATTTAAAAGATGAAGAAGCACCTTAAATCAGAGAAGTAGCTTCTGCGAGGTCCCACGGCGACTCCTGGGCAGGGTGCCTCCTGCTCTCTTCCTTTGCCCTTCCCCAGGCCTAGTTCCCAACTCGGCCTTGGCCGCTGCGGTTTCAGCACCACGAAGGAGGACAGCGCCGGGCACAGCACCCGTCCTTAAAGCACCGGGGACGGCGCCTCAGCGGGCTCTTTGACGCAAGGGTTCGGCATCGCGGACAGACCCTCTGACTCCCTCCCCAACCCGCACCGAACTAGGTCAACCCATCATGCGGCCCGCTCGCCACTCCAGACCACAGACGGAGCCAGCATCCAGCATTGCGGGCAGCGTCCAAGTTTGAGAACGAGCTTAGAGCCCGAGGAGCGTAACCCCCTCTCTGTCTTTACTCCGTTTTCTCATCTCCCCTTCCAATATCGTGGCAGGTAGCACACCGGAAGGGGCCCGTGGGAGCCAGCAACAATCCAGTCCCTTCAAAATTAAGGACACCTCCACCCTCCAAGCGTCGAGGACGTACGATCACTGTTTCAGCACCACGGACAGACTCCGCTGGACCGACGGCGCCAACACGCTTCCTTCAGCACCGAGGACAGATCCCCGACATCGTCCCAGTGCCTGGACCACACTCACTGGAGGAAGGGGCCGTTTTTTGCCTGATTCACTCACTTCTGTCTTCCACAGAGGTGGTACTTAGGTTATCCCGGGATGGTCAGGCATCTCAGGCTCTACAAAAGTGTTTTCGCATTCATTAATACACTCGAGCCTCGTTTCCAGTAAATTGGATGCTATTGCTCCCACTGTAGAGATGAGGAAACCTGGGAATCTTTGAGATCACCCAGCAGCGCCAAGACTGAGACCCAGGACTCTTTCACCCCCCCAGCCCGGGGCCTCTCCAAGAGACTGTGGTGACAGAACTGGGGCTCAAACCCAGGGCTTTCTCCTCTTAAAACACAGACTGGAGGGAGGGGGCACAGGGAAGGGGACAAGGAGAGAGAGGAGATTAGAAGAGAGAGGAGTAAACAAGAGATGCTTGGGGGCTGCAGAGAGGGGGCTGGCAGGACACACTGCTGCTGCGCCACTAGCCCACTAACTGACCTTCAGAAATCCTCTTTCCTTGCAGTCTGGAACAATGTTAAGGTTCCTCCAAAGACAGACCTCCTGGGGTTGTATGACTTTGAAAAGGCTCATGATGTGATGTTTCTGCTCAAACCCCTCTGAGGGCCATGTTTATTTGAGAAATCCAGACTTCTCCAGTTTGCATTCGAGGTCCCAGTCTCTGCTCCTGCACGTAGCCTTCACTCCAGCCACTGTCCCCTCCCTGAGCATGTCCTGGCTCTGTTACATCTTCACCATTCCCAGTGCTTCCCCTACGCTTGTGTGCCTGTCCCTCTATTTAGAGAGTCCCCCATTGGCCAAGGGCCAGCCTAAGTCCCCCACAGGAAGAAATACCTGCTGCCTTCTCCCAGTCCCCAAGTCTCTTTGGGGCCATTGCCATAGCACTGTGCTGAGAACTTAATTATCCCACTTAATCCTCAGAACGACCAGACTCACATAGGGTAGGATAGTGTGGTTAAAAGTGTGGACTCTAGAGCCACATTCTCTGAGTGTTAAATCCTGCCACTTGCTAGCTGTGTAACCTTAGACAAGTTGCTTAGCCTTTCTGTGCCTCAATTTTCTCATCCATAAAATAAGGATAATAATATCCCCTTCACACAATTATTGTGAGGATTAAATGAGTTGCTACATGGAAAACACTTAGAACCGTGTTCGGCACATAGTAAATACATGATACTGTTTGTTGTTGTTGTTATTATCTACAGATGAGAAAACAGGCTCACAAAGGTTAAGTATCTTGCCCAAAGTCACATAGCAAGGCAGTTGTACAGTCATGACATGTTTGATTCTAGAGCCCATGCTTTCAGGCATAATTCCTGAGCACATCTAGTGCAATTTGCACTCTTGGCACCCTACCAAACTAAGACCCAGAGAGGGTGAGTGGCTTCCTCAGAGTCACACAGCCAACCATGACAGAACTAGATCCAGGTCCTGTCTCCCAGCTCAGGGCTCTCCCACTATGCCATACCGTCCCACTTATATTTCCTGCAGCACTTAAACTGCACATTATAGTTTACAAATCACATTCACATCCATGATTTCATATAATTCATACAACAACCCCGGAGGCCACTCTTTTTACCTTCCTTCTTTTATAGATGAGGAATCGGAAGCTGAAAGAGACGAAGTAACCCGCACAAGGTTTCACAGTAAGGCGGGGCAGAGGCTGGATTGAAAGGACAGATCCCAGCCCATACTCCTTCCCTGAGTAATTCTGTCTCTTGTCTGCTTCCCAGTACAAGTGCAAACTGCAGGCACTGTGGAACTGAGAGCCTCGTGGAGGCAGAAGGTAAGCAAAGACTACCCCAGGAAATAGACTGCAGGAATTCGCTGGGGCGGGTGATTCTCGTCACTTGTTTCATTCCGGGAATGCTCCAGGAGACAGAAAGCCTCCCATCCCTGGAGGCAACTGAACAAGCATCTCATGGTCATGTGGATGCCAGGAAGCAAATATCACTGCTATTTCCATTACACAAATGAGGCTCAGAGGTGAACATCATGTCAAGTATTTCAGTTGGGGAAGACGATCTTTTCAAAGTTCCCCCCAAGCATGGGATGTGGCATCACGCCTCACCTCTGAACCAGTCTCTGCCCTCCCCTTGACTCAGGGAGGCCACCCTCCCTCCCCTCTTTGGGAGGTGTCACTTGAGCACTGTGGCTCTGTCAGTGGTAACAGCGTAAGATTTGTCCTTTTAATCCAGAATCAATAACAAATTTCATTTAAAAATAAATTAAACCAGGCATTGGAAATCATTCACCGTGTGGGCCGGGGCCCTATATAGCACCGTCTAAATGGCTTCCTTGCGCTCATCTGTCAATGCCAAGAGGGGGAAATACCTAAGCTGCCTGATTCATGGAGAAACTACTTAAATGTATCAGCCCCTAACAATGAGCAATGTAAGCCCAGAGTCGCACCTTTTAACACACCAATAACACGTGGAGCCAGGCTTCGTGAGAGCTTATCAGAGACCCCACGGTCACTGGCTTCGAGAGAGCTCATTTATAAGGGGGAACAATGGCTTTAGTATGGAGCCACCTAATTTCCAGAATGCATTACTGAGCTCCGAGGAGCAATGGAATTCTATTAAAGTCTTATCTGCCACGGGAGGGTATGAAACCGGCGGGGAAATCCGGTCTTGGCATAGACATGCCCAGTAAGCACCAGGGCTGACCCTAGGAGGTAGGTGAACAAGCCCAGAGGGAGAAGGGGGGCAGGAGGGGCCCCGGATGTGTGAAAATATGTGCATTAATAGAGCTCCAGTTCCCAGCGATTACGTTTACATCAGCGAATAAAACTTGGCAATAAAACATCGGAGCTGCGTCTCAGACAGCATTTCCTTTTACAGCCCGGTGTATTTCACTCATTATAACAGGAGGCAAGGAGCGCGAGGTGTCCCCATTTCTCCCCCTTTAATTAAATTTCCTAAATTACTGCCTAAGATTTGGATAAAGCGAAAGACTTACGACTCCGCTAATCGCCATCGAGGCTCCTGCCCCATCACTGTGGTGGCCCTGACTGTACCAGTTCCCAATATTATTACAGTGAAATACTGTGGGCATTGCCTGCCCGGGCTCTGGTTTGTGAAAGGAGATGTAACGTCGGGAGAAAAATTAACCCACGGTCAGGAAAGAGGCCTGGGTTTCAGGACTGGCTTGGCCATCACTACCTTGTGTGACCTTGGGCAAGTTACTTCTCCTCTCTGAGCCTCACAACTGTTCCTTTTCCCCAGACATCCGTCTTGAGGCCTTTCAGCATTGTTTTGGGGCTGGGGAAGTCCTTGGATGCATACTGGTATGACCTGGGGAGCTTTAAAACAATATTAATGTCCAGGCCACACCCCAGAGATCCTGACATAATTGGTCTCTGATAAGGTCTGGGTATGAGGCTTTTTAAAAATTCCCCAGGCGATCCCATGTACAGCCA